AGCAGAGTTGAGTGATAATTCACTGCAGATTTGTAACTATAAACAGCAGATTTCATGTTACATTTAATCATTTGAGCTGCTATACGAATTAAACACTTTTAGTAGCCAGCTAAGAGTCATTCTTAAGAAATTTCACCCACTCTCCCAACCCACAACCAATGGTAACTTAGACTTAAATTTAAAGTATGTGTTCCCTCATTTGACAAATGACCAAAACATCTCTCTGTCTCTCTGTACTCTCTCCCATATACTGTAGGTGTCAGATAGCCCACTGGAATCACGAAGCAAAGGGTTGTACCTGTCCCAGCTATCACTCAGACATAATGAGACCATCATGAGGTCCAGTGACTCAGGGGCATTTTCTATTGAACATTACAGCTAAATGGACATGACCAACAGTGAGTGCACAAAAAGCAATGAACTGAAGAGATGTGGTTTGGGTTTCTCTAAAAGTGTTAATATTTTACCTTCTGAAGAACCTTCTGTTGTTATTGTGTTGCCCTAAAATATTTCAAAATATCTAGTGACAGTGACAAACACAGTTCTATATAATAAATTAACAAATAAAAAAGCACGAGTGTCTTCGCATGCGGACACGTTTGGCATCTGACATTAGTGAAAAAAACCTTTTTGCATTTATAAAAGAGACTAGACCTGGAAGATAATTCATGTTAGAGCTCTCTTTCCTTTATTTGCACCTTGTATTTAAACTATTGTAATGTATCCTTTATGATGGACCACCAGAAATAGGCAAGAAATTTGGCATGAATTGGTTCACTTGCTTGGCTCTCTTTAATAACTCAATTGCTGTTTTTAGTCTGATAGATTTACTCTGTGTAATAGAGTTACATTATGTTTTGGCTTTAAGAAAATCTGCCATTTTCTCTGCGGTGATAAACTGAATAAAAGCCACAGCAGTGATGGAGAGCACATCATTCCTAATGTATGCATTTCTGTCTATATGTACAGTACAGTATGTGGTTATATGTCAGTGCATGGCAAACTCTATTTGGAATAAAAGGAAAGCCTATTCAACTGTCTTGCTTTTGTGCTGAGAGGTAATCCAGACGCACTGGATCATGTCTTCAAAACTGTCATTTATTATCATCAGATTTAGGAATGGATTTGACCATTAAAGGTTCTTCTAAAAGCTTCTGCGAAAGGGATATCTGTTTAAGTGATTTTGCCTTTTGGTAAATGCAGGCATCTTGTCTGATGGATGGCAAAAAAAAACATTAACAGAAACCACACACTGTCTTTTATTATTATTACTATTGTTTGCCTCAAGCATTAGGCTACCGGACGCCCATGTCTGATTTTGAACCACAAAATAGAAAAATCCTTTGAAGAATTCATTTGTATTGATCAGCTGTCGTTGGAAACTGTTATTATAAAGTGTCAGTTAAAGCTTTGTTCAAACTAAATTCTCATCCTTTGATTATTTTCCCTTTGTAGCTAGAGACTGATCCAAAGTCTGTGAAATGATTGTGCCAATTTTCACCACACAATAGGCATGACTATTTAATTTAAAAAAATCATGAATTAAGGTTAGCAGTGCATTAACATTAGTAGAAAGAATAATTTTTCATGTCTTCAGCAGACTTTGGATTTACCTTGCAAGTACAGAATGTCCCAGCAACGTCGTGATTGTGACGTTTCATTAAAATGTTCAACATCCTCTGCTTGATGATTCCTGTTCTTTATATAATGATGTTGCTGTTTTTTATAGCGTATTTGGTGCAACGTTGGTAAATTGTCATAGTGTCTTTACAATATCTGCAGCTTTACACTGTTCATATATCAGAAATAAACTGAAGAAAGAAGAGATTCATAAAATATTTAATATTAATATCAATTGGTATTATTATTATTATTCTGGGACATCTATCTAAAGATAATTTACCTGAATTCCAGTACAATTATATATGATTTATTTTGATTGAAAAGTGTAGTGATGTAGTATTCATTGTTTTATTATGTGATTTTCTATAAGTCATGGGGTTTGAATTGTAATTGACCAATTGCAGATCTCACACCAATGACACTGTGATGTATTAAAGCGCTGGGTCCAATTATATAGCATGACTGCGGTTTAGCTACGTTTGGTTTTCATTTGGAGATTCTGCTCTTAGTGGATTTTTTTTTAATTATTTGTTTATATGGTTTTGGATTTTTAGGACAATTCCCATCTGTCCCATTCCTGAATTATGCATAGTTTTGAAGTGGGGTTTTATGAGGTTTCTTACAGCAGCACTTACTGCTTGGCGGGCCACACAGGAGTTTGATGCTAGCAACCTAGCTAAAATAAAAAGTAAAAATTAAAAAGGGTGCTTTACCTTCCTGTCAAACAACCCTTTGATAATGACCCCCCATAATACTGCCTGAGACCAGTGTCTTTTTTGCAAAGTTGGTCACACTGCATTTTTGTGTGCTGTCCAATTGTAAGCCTTCCAGGCAGGTGGATGATCATTGTGGACCAGCAGAAACAATCAGCTGTAGAGCACGGGCTTGTGTGGTCAAAGACACAAAAAGAGGAAACCCAGAACAAATGAAAACTGACACATTTTTATTTTGATGTCAGAGATCTTGCTAAAGGATGCAAAGGATTTTTTATTCTCTCTATTCACAAAGTAGTAATGGTTGAATTAAAAGTATTTCACATAAAACTGCTGTTGCAGTGTGCTTATTATTTTGCTATTTTTAACAGCATTGTGTTAAAACAGAGACATGGAGAAGGGGAGCTATTCAAAGACAGTGTCAGTTTGTGTTTGTGTGTGAGTGTGGGCAGGAGCGACTGAGCAAGTCAGTGCACTGTGCACAGCTCCACAATGAAAAAAGTTGTTCCCATTTTAAATAGTAACAGAAAGAAAACCAATATGTGGCAGTCCACGCTGATACTGGGGCGGGCTGCCACAATTATGTATGGGAAACACTGGAATGATACATCCTGCCATTCCCTGTCCTTTCCCTTCTGTTGTTTGGGACCATTGGTGTTTGTATTTGCCAAAACTGTCTTCATGAAAAATAACAACTGTAATAACTGCAGTGACTATCTGCTGTTCTAGCAGGTCTGAAGACAGGCTTCCTCCTCCTCTGTGCTGTGCCATCTGTATGGTAGTAGAGGGAGTTGGCTCAGCCTGCTTCAGCTGCTTGTCTTTGCCTCTTCCTCTTGGGGGTTGGGTTGGGGTGGGGGAGGCAGATCATCAGATGATTCTTCAGAGGTGTTGTGGCTGAGAGGAGCACATCTTTTTGGTGTCTGGCTCCCAATGCACATGAATCATGGGAAAAACAGGACAAAATTAAAACTACAGTTACACTAATCAAATTAGTCAAGTTTGAGTCTGAAGCAATAACAATTGAAATAAAATATTTTGCTGCCAATCACAAACATACAATTTAGACCTTTCAGTGAAGACATCCAGTCTGAATAAACATTTGAGTTTATGTCCACTTCAGTTTTGCATTCTTACTGGGAAAACACTGAAAGCAAGATGTGAGCATCGCATAAGCACTGCTAAAGAATGATTCCATTCGATTCACAATGAAAGTACTTCCCTTTGTGCTGCCATTAAGTGAGCACAAAAAATAAACAGGTTTAACTGAATAGTTAGAACGTCAGCTCACTAAAACAATCTCTGAGTTACTGCATACAAAGTCACTTTGGGCTTCTCTTGTTTAGGGGTCGCCACAGCAAATCGTCACACTGACGACTCACATGTTGACATTTGGCACGTGTTTTACACCGGATGCGCTTCCTGACGCAACCCTGATTCAAGCCCGGGCCGCAGCGGCGAGAGCACTGTGTCTTAACCACTAGCCTACCAGTTACGGCTGATACTACATACAAAAAATAAATAAATAAAATATTTTAATGTGGCTATTTTAGGGAGGCTTCATCCTTACATGAGACATGATGACAGGGGCTGGCCAGGGGTGGCACCTGCTACAGTCAAAATGTGATGCTCTCGAAAAATGAAAAACAATGACAAAATATTGAATGCAGCCAAAATTAGCTACAGAAAGCATGTTGCTTCCCATATTTACACAAAGTAAACATCTGATTCTTAATAATGCATAGTTTATTATTTTATAGAACTTAAAAAATGTTCCCATGTATTTCAATGTTTCCCAGCCCAGTCACCCAGTCCTACATCTTCTAGATACTCCCCTGGTCGTACAGCAAGCCAGTTGAATACATTGAAGAAAGAGAGATTCAAATGTCACAAAACCCAAATTACTAAAACTTGGGATCAGTGCTCCATAACAAAGAAATCATTATTTATGGAGCCATGGTTTGTTTCGCTATGGTGTCTTAACAAAAAAAGTCTACATTGATCTCAAATAAGATGATAGTTTGGATTATTCAGTGCCTCATTACAGTAATATTAAAATCTGTTATGTTCATTTTGGCTGTTCTGCAACAAGTCGACTTATTTGAAAAGGCATTGCTTAATGATTAGAGCCAACATAAGAGGAACAGCAGAAGCTCTTCTGTGACCAGTGTGTGGCTCTTAAAAGAGCCTTTGTTGTGTTGGAGCAGTAGTAGCAGTCTATGCCCTTTCTCCGCGGATGCGTCGAGCCAGCTGGATGTCTTTGGGCATGATAGTGACTCTCTTGGCGTGGATGGCGCACAAGTTGGTGTCCTCGAACAAACCCACCAGATAAGCCTCGCTGGCCTCCTGCAGAGCCATGACAGCAGAGCTCTGGAAGCGCAGATCAGTCTTGAAATCCTGAGCAATCTCTCGAACCAGGCGCTGGAAAGGCAACTTGCGGATCAGCAGCTCCGTGGACTTCTGGTAACGACGGATCTCTCGTAGAGCCACGGTTCCAGGCCTGTAACGATGAGGTTTCTTAACGCCACCAGTAGCCGGAGCGCTCTTACGCGCAGCTTTAGTAGCCAGCTGCTTCCTGGGAGCTTTGCCTCCTGTGGACTTACGAGCTGTCTGCTTGGTTCTTGCCATTTCTGCTTTCTCTCTAAACAGAAGAAAAGTGTAGAAAAAAATAGACGATCCGCTTCTCTTAAACTCTGGGACCAGCGGGGAAACGGTGACGCAGCTTCAACCCTCCTGGTCCTGATTGGTGAGCGGCTCCTCGTGAAGCTCAGCCCCGCCTGGAGGAGCGACCCGCTGCCTATACCTCCGCTGCTTATTGGCGAAAGATGCGTTCAAAACGTGCGCCAAAACTGAGATCGGGCCGTCCTCTGCTGTGCCGGTGAAAGCCTTTCCTCTGGTTGGTCCGCCTGGAGCCATCCTACCTCTCCGCGGACATAAAATAGAGGGTCTGCGCTGTAGAAGTCATAGTTCTTCGGAGTGTTGTCTATAGAACGAAAATCCAAAAATGAGTGGTCGAGGAAAGACAGGTGGAAAAGCTCGTGCTAAGGCAAAGAGCCGCTCTTCTCGTGCTGGGCTCCAGTTTCCTGTGGGCCGTGTTCACAGGCTCTTGCGCAAAGGAAACTATGCAGAGCGTGTTGGCGCCGGCGCTCCTGTCTATCTCGCGGCAGTGCTAGAGTATCTGACTGCTGAGATTCTGGAGCTGGCTGGAAACGCTGCCCGTGACAACAAGAAAACCAGGATCATTCCCCGTCACCTGCAGTTGGCTGTGCGCAACGACGAGGAACTCAACAAGCTGCTGGGCGGAGTCACCATTGCTCAGGGCGGCGTGCTGCCCAACATCCAGGCTGTGCTGCTGCCCAAGAAAACCGAGAAGCCTGTAAAGGCAAAGTAGATCTGGACACTGGCTGACAGCTGCTAACTGAAAAACAAAGGCTCTTTTAAGAGCCATACACTTCTGGTAAAGAGCTTGGTCTTCATGTTTCTTTGATAACTACCGAGGAAACGTTTTCCTTTTACCCAGACAGCCAGCCACAGTTTAATATTCCTACTTTTGAGCATTTAACTGTTAAATTATTATTTTTTTGTGCCAGTTCACAACAATCGTTTGAAGGCACTGTACATAATCAGGTCTACACACACTACTATACAAAAAACCAGGATTGGTTGTGATGAACAGAAACACACACCCCCATGTTATGACACGAAGTATTTTTCCTGTATAATTGCAAGAAGCAAGCTTTTAAAAAGCACATAGTTAACAGCTCTAGTGATCAGATGTCTGTTGTATCAGAAGAAAACACTAAAGTTTGTATGGTTTTGGTGTGGTCACGATTTACTGACGGTGCAAAGCATGCTGGGTAAATGGAGAGGAAAATAAAGGTAATGGACAAGAAGTTGTGCAAAAACTCAGACATAGGTTACCTGAGTCCCATACATGCTGGCGTCTGCTGTCTTCAGGTGCTGTAGGTTGGAGTGATTGATCAAAATACTGTAGTTTAATTGCTTTTTACAAACAGCTTTAGTTGCAGCCTGACCTCTTAAAGGTGCCCTGTGTTTATACATTAGGCTACCTGGTGATGTGTTATCTTTGTGTGCATTCCCAAATATGTGAAAACATTATGCAAGTATATTTTATGCACATAAGTACAAAAAATGGTTCTGCAACCCGAGTTTGGGAAACGACTGTCAGGATGGAGGTTCAGATAGACAGCTGCTGCACACTCAGGTGTCAGTTATTGTGTACTTAGTCTCTTTTTCTTTTCATATTTTTGAATTCTTGTATTACAAGAACATGGTTTACAAACAGCAGCTGTCTCATCTTATGTATACTGAAAATTAGTAAATGTTTCTCAGTTTGTTTACAGGGACTGGAGCTCCTATGTGCACATGTTCACGTTTTAAACTTCACATATACACCAGTCTGATCAGGACCCAGACAGTGGAGCAGAACATAAGCAAAGTGGAGGGGGCATTATTACACACACTTTAAACTGGTTTAGTCTGTCACCTTTATTTGGTGTTCAGAATCATTTGACCGCCCTACAACCTTAACCTAAAAAGACCTGCCCTGAAATCATGTTGGTACTAGTGATGTAAACGAGCCGGCTCTAAGAGCCGATGCTTTGTAGGGAACGAGAAGAGCCAACTCCCGCCGGAGAGAGCCGAATCTTCAGCCGCTATTGGTCAGCTCTGCTGACAATCCATGCACAGAAGAGCGAGACTATTTTTATGGGCGCACCATTCGACCAATCACGTGCGAGGACAGACTAGACTCATACCATTATGTGAAAGACGTAAGGGGGCGGGGCCAGAGGCTCAGACAGCGAGTGTAGTGGTAGTACAGGACAGGTACACACAGACGGGGAGCCAGGTTAAAAGCAAGCGCGTCGGGAAAAACGGAGGAAATGTCCGAAAAC